TCCATGATATTCTAATTTTTTGGAAAGGGTTTGTAGATTAATACCAAGAGTTTTTCCGTTTCAGTTTTGCTCCTTAAAAGCTTTTTTTTTTTTTTTTTTTGCAGCAGTGGTATTACTACATGAACGGATTTAATCACGTAGAAGAAAAAATATAATGCATCAGACAGCCTAAAAATTAAAACACAAGCCATAATCAGTGGTGATGTCAGTGTGATAATGTCAGTGACAGTTTGGTGATGGTGTCAGTTATCAGATTGTTCACTTAACTCCCTGCAAAGACGTGTCTGTCTTTATGAGTGTCAGTGTGTCCTGAGACACTAGATACAAATGGTAACAGTAATAAAATGGTGTGTCTCTCTGCAGTGGATGTACTGACCTGTATAATTAGGGTGCTGTATTATTGTCCTTTGGGACTTCAGGTGAACATTTTTTTTTCTTCAGATGTATATAAGAAGTTGTTTGATTCAAATTATCAAAAGGTGCATGGAATTTGTGGTGCAACATTAAAAACCAACATTTCAAAAATGCTGCAGCAACATGTCTTTCCAGATACAGTCCTCAACCCCTACCATATGGATCCTGTGGTGTTATACGGCATTACATTCAGTTTTTATCACATACTTACAGTAAAGCAGCTAAATGATGAGCAAAGAAGTCAAAGTGGTATTTTTTTGTGTACATCATGTTTTTTTTTTCATTTATTAAATCATATTTACAAGATCGAAGTGAAATTGACAGGATGTACTATAAACAAGTAGAAAGCAAGAAAATACATCTAGAATGAATTACAAATGAAAATAACAAATGTGTTGTAAGTGGTGTCATAACTTATTGACACAATAACATACCAACTATGTACAAAATTGAAATCACTGAAAGTCATTCCAGTGACGTGGCTAGAGCTAAGTGTGTCCGGCTCCCAGCAAGGCCTGTTCAGTGGCTGACAGGTTGTTCTCCTCCTAGGGGGAGATAATTGTTAGTAGGTTTGTTCTGAAATATTAAAATATTCTTCTGTTACAGTGGTAAAAAGGATCACAAGCTGCAAAAGATAAGTCTTGCTTTTACATTATTTATTTACATTATATATTTATTTATACAGGCTGCAAGGTGGTGCAGTTGGTTAGCACTGCTGCCTCGCAGCAAGAAGGTCGGGATCTTGTTGAGGTTAATTGGTGATTCTAAATTGTCCATAGGTGTGAATGTGAGTGTGCTTGGTTGTCTGTCTCTAAGTGTAACACTGTGATAGACTGGTGACCTGTCCAGGGTGTCCCCTGCCTTCACCCTGAGTCAGATGGGATAGACTCCAGCCCCACCGCGACCCTAGTGAGGTTTAAATGGTGTATAGATAATGGATGGATTTGTGATTTGGATTTTTGCTGTTTAAATGAGCTTCAGGCTAAAACTAATAGAGATGATTCAGGGCTGCAACTATTGCTTTTGTTACTGCAGAGTAAAACTAACCAGTAAAACTGGTTGGATTAAAGTCTCTCAGCCTAATTTCCGGCTGCAGCAGATAACTGTTTTCAGCAAAAAAAACAAAAAAAAAAACCAGCTTACACAAACCCATTCTTTATACAAGCACCTGGCCAGCATAGCCCATGCCTTGGTAATCAGTCGCTGTTTCCATGGCTTAACTAGCCTTTCTTTTTCACAAAAACTAGCCTCTCCACTCTCCTTACCCGTGTGCTGATCTTGTAATGCTTCTTCCCTCAACTCCATAGCTCTTATCTTTGCTCCTGCAAACACTGTCGGAAGGTCCCCAATATTATACCAATGAACTCAGCCAAAAGGCAAACGTTCATAGTCATGAAAGAGATGAAATAAAGAAGCATCTGCACGCAGTGCTGCACAGGCTAAAAAAGGATACACAAGAGAGGACACATGATTGTATTTTTTAATGCTTGTGTGTGAGGAATAAAAAATAAAAGACAGATCTAATACACTGCTGTCTCTCATGCACTTATTATGTCTCTACATAATCACGTGTGTGTGTGCAGCAGCCCTCCCAGTAATGTGTCGGCATGAAAATCAGACTCAATTCATGTTGGAAGTGTTATGAAAATGTTATAAGGTCCTCCTTAATTCAATTCTGACTTTAACAGCTGAGCGGCTCGGAGGACTTGTTCATACTGAGTCGAGAAACTACCAGAAAATTACATAGTTATATAAGTGTTTGTAATTTACGACAGATTTAACTACGGATCATATTTATGTCATATTTTTATACTTTTTCAGATGGAACCTGTACCTTCAGAAAAATAATTTGCAGATTGAGCTATGTAACCCATCACACTGAACAACAAAATAAAAATCTACAACAGGCAGCAAAAAAACAGCAAAAATACCTGTTGGTGTCATGTCTGTCAAGTTTCTGTTTTGTATGCACATTTTATGTCTTGTCTTTCCTGTTTTATTTTGAAATCACTTCACCAGTTGTTTCTGCTCAGTTTACTTCCTGCACCTGTCTTGTCTCACCTGTTCCCTGATTACCTCCCCACACCTGTTTCCCATCTCCCCTCATTACCTCGTGTATATTACCCTGGGTGTCTCACTGTCTCCTTGCCAGTTTGTTGCACTTCACAGTCCTCGTACCAGTGTTTCCAAATCAAGTCATAGTCTGTTTGTTTGCGACCTCGTTTCTGTTTTTATGACCTTGCCTTTTTGCCTCTCGATTTCTGGATACCTCTGCCTGCCTGACTGACTTCCCGTGTACCGAACCCAGTTTGTCATTAAACCTGCCTTTTTGCTTGAACCCTATCTGTGTCGAGCATTTGTGTCCACCTGCCTGTCATCAGTGAGTTCTTGACAGTTGGTCTATTCCTACAGCATCCAGTACACCACGCGGGATGGTTGCCCAGCCATCCCTGGTGTACATCGCAAACACGGAAATCAAAGCCTGAGAGGGAAACAAATAAAGAAATAATCATGGTTTTCAAAGATGAGGTTCCTATTTGATAGTATTTTGGATTAATGATCCGACATTCTTTTCCTTTCTCATACAACAGAATAATAGTATAAGACTGGTGTGTTGGCCCTTACCTGAAGGAGGTGGTCAAAGTTGTACTGCTTCCACACCCAGCTGTAGTTAGCTGCCAGACACTCAGTCTTGTTGGTGATGTTTCTTAGGTCGTCGCCCACACAGTGGTAGAATTTCTCTTTGAAGAACTACAGCATTTTTGTGAGATAAAAAGAGAGGGACTGTGTGGTGATCCGAGTTTTTGTGCTTTTAGTGTGAGACTTTAGTTAGTGTATGTGCTTGTTGTTTCTGGTGGCTGCAAGTGTGTTCTCAGGCTGGGTGGGGTTTTTGAAGGGGAGAGGTCTCACTCACTCTCCTCCACACCTGAGGCTCATCAGTAATCAGTGCTGGATAAAGCCTGCCTCCCTCTTGGAGACCTACCCTGGAATTCCCTCCCTCACTCGGCGTCCCTCACGTGCTTCCTGGTGTCCCCTGCTTCCCCGCAGCCTTGAATAAATTCCTCTTTTCTTCTCATCTAAACCTGTGTTGCATTTTCTGATCCATGCCAGACTGAACCCTCACAGACTGTCTGTGTGTGTGTGTGTGTGTGTGTGTGTGTTTGCATATGTGTGTGTGTCAGCTTACCGCCACCCCAACGATCCCTAAGCCGAAGACGGTGATGCAGAAAATGCGAATGATCACCATCAGAGCGTCCATTGCCAGTTTTAGTCTTCGGAATCGGTTGGCCATCCTGGAACATGCCAACATAACAAACAGAAGAAATGAATAAAACAGCCGGAGCTGATCTCCAGCTGGGAAAACATCCACGCGTGTCAGACGTGGCGCACGTCGGGGTCGTGGGGTCTGATGTGTGTGCCAAGTTTTGTGAGTTTTCGAGTATGTTTAGGACCTGAAAAACGTGTTTCTTTGTGACAAAGAAATAATGACATAGTAGTTCCAATAGGGTCCTACGCAATGTAGTGCTCAGACCCTAAAAATAATAATAATAATAATAATAGGCTGCAAGGTGCCGCAGTTGGTAGCACAGTTGCCTCGCAGCAAGAAGGTCGCCGAAGAGCACCGGGATCTTTCTGTGTGGAGTTTGCATGTTCTCCTCATGCAGCGTGGGTTCTCTCCGTGTTCTCCGCCTTCCTCCCACAAGGACCTTGTGACAAGGTCCAAAAACATGTTGAGGTTAATTGGTGATTTTAAATTGTCTGTAGGTGTGAATGTGAGTGTGCTTGGTTGTCTGTNTTCGCTCATTTTTTTACTTTGAAAGGCAAATTGTGGACTTCCTGTTTGAGATAGGTCAGGGGTGTCAGCACAAGATTTGTGGGTCTCATTGAGACAAACGTTTTGGTGTTGGTTTGATCTCTGTGCGACATTCCTACTGGGCGCTAGGGCCATTTTAGTGTGTTTTTCTGTAACTAGGTGGCGCTAGAGAGCATTTTGGTCTTTTTTTTCATTTTATCAAATTTTTCGCCGATTCGGATGTGCGTGCCAATTTTGGTGAGTTTTTGAGCATGTTTAGGGGGTCAAATTAAGGGTTTCGCGTTGGTCAGGGAAATAATAATAAGAAGAAAGAAAGAAAAAGAAACGAAGCAGGAACAATAGGGTCCTCGGACCCTAATAAGAAGAAAGAAACGAAGCGGGAACAATAGGGTCCTCGGACCCTAATAAGAAGAAAGAAACGAAGCGGGAACAATAGGGGCAAGGACCCCTGTTTGCTTTGCAAGTAGGGGTCCTCGGACCCTAATTATTATTATAATAAGTATTATAATAACAATAGAATTCCACTAAAGAACTAAAGAAATCAATATTATTAAATTATATTTTCGTGTCTAAGGTGACTAATTTAATGGTGGATAGTAGGTACATTTAACGAATGTTATAAATACGGACCCGCCGATTCATACTCCCACCGATTGATGGCGGTAATGCGCAAATTAGTTGTTTCCTTTCCGCCACTAAACCTCAAACAATAATAAGAAGAAGACCGTCGTTTTATTTTTTCTTGTCCGCCTGAAACCACATGACCGTTTGAAGGGGGAGTGTAAAGATGGTGGCCGCTGTCACTAAACCAGATCTTACTGGGTTTAGGAGTTTATGTGTTTTATGTCCAATGTTTCACTTGAAAAACATCCGTCAGATAACATGTCTCTTTGTTGCCGTTTGTATTTTGACGAGCCAGTCGCTGGCAGACGACACGGACTTTATGGAGGAGTTTCTGAAGCGGGAATATTCTCTGGTGAAGCCGTACCGAGGTAAGTTCACTGTCACCAGTCAGAGGCGATCTCACCGCTGTGTCAGTAAACAGTCAAACTGCAATACAAGTTAATACCGACCCGCAACAGCAATTCACACCGGAAATTAGCATATGCTCAATTTAGCCCAGTTGTCGGACAGCTAATGCTGCATTAGCTGTTAAGGATAATGATTAACTAACAGGAACTTTGTTCCTCTCAGGCAGTTGTGGTTATAAATCTCTGCTAATGTTAAAATACGAGGAAAGGTAGCAGGTGTTAGCCCACAACCAACTGTATTCAACAGTGCTGTTAAAGATAGCTTACAGCTAACGTTAACCATCTCAGTTTTTTACATGTCTGTGTAGATTGTCAGTCATGGTAATCCAGTAATCTCCAGTAAAAAGCAGCTGAACTTCTCTTCATATATACGTATATATATATATATATATATATATATATATATATAGAAAGGAAACAAAACTACACCTTTACAAGCCCATGGTACAGGACTAAACTCAGCAGTTCACCTGCATCTTAAAGATAAGGGGCACTCCTTTGAGGACAGCAGTGTTCACATTCTGGACAGAAAAAACAAAAGATTTGAGAGAGGAGTGAAAGAAGTCATCCATGTTCACCCTAAATAACCATCTTAAAACGGAAAAGGGACTCCACCATCGCAATTATCAAACACTTGTTACGCAGTTTTGAGGTCTCTACGCAGAAAGTTTCACCACCATTAACATTATGAGTCACCCCTGACTTGGCAGTTTCACAACCATCCACACCTCGAGTGATCTAAGTCACTGGTCGTCCATGAGCCATGGGTTTTGGGATGAAAATATATACCTGAAACTTCAGCCTCTTAAATGGAGGTTAAATGTTTTCAAGAACCTAAAGAGAAGTCCAGTTGCTTTCTAATGAAGATCTGAGGATTAAGTATCTTCTTAGTGACCACAAAGCTCTAACAAGAGCAGCTGTCATGAGGAGCTTAATGTGTTAAATACATGTCAGCCCTGCAATGAAAGTGTTGGTTTCATTCTTCTCATACATCAAATACACCGATAAGTATTAATCACAGAAAACTTGACCACCTTCAAGGTGATGGAAACAATTAAGTGTACAGTTGTCCTCAAATGTATTCATACCCTCCCATTAAAGAAGGAAAAAAACAGCTGTCACTGAAATAAGTTGAAACTGACAAAAGTAATAATAAATAAAAAATTAATGAACATCATGACATTGCTTTTGAATCATGGTTTAACTGAAATGTATATAAAAAACAAACAAAAAAAACAACACAAGCAAACAAGCATGACGGGACCCATAGACTAATATGTTGTTAAACAACCCTTTGAGCCAATCACTGCAATCAAGTGTTTTCTGTAACTCTCAATCAGACTTCTGCACCTGTTGACAGGTAGTTTGGTCCACTGCTCATCAGCAAAGTGCTCTAACTTGTCTGGGACAGTTTTTGTTTTTTAATATTCTTTTCAACCACAATTCAAAAGCAACGTCTTTTTTCACTAAAATATAATTTGCCATTTTTTAAATTAATATTATTATTTTCAGTTTCTAGTTATTTGAGTGACTGTCGTGAGTTTTGCCTTTTCTTTAATGGAAGGATATGAATACATTTGAGGACAACTGTGTAGATACATGGTGATTGCTCAAATGCCAAATTCAGTGCAATAATATCTTGTTCAAGTAAATGTTTGTACTTGGAATTTGGTTGCTGACGTTTGTTGGTGTTGTGCCAACGAGTGGCTGTATTGAACTGTTTGTATACATTTGAAGCTGCTTTTATCTGGCTCATACAATTATAACCTACATATAACTTTATATCTGTGGTAACAGCAATGGTACGTTGTGTTAAATTTTAACATTTCTTGTAACCAAGTAATTGGGACCAAAGAAATGTTTGCCATTTACAGTGTAATCAGGCATGGCACTTATTATTACAGGCAGAATTATAGAATTGTTCCTGAAGTTTATGCTGTATGTGTTTTATATCTGTATTTACACCTGGAAATTAGACTGTAGTTGACATGATAAACATGGATTTTTATGCAAAATAAAGAAACTGTCTCTTGCAATTGTCCTGTGGCTCATAGTGTTTAAAATATAACCCTCATGGATGCAATCAAGTCACTGTGATGCATTAATAGCTTTCCAGTCAAATAGTGACTCCATACACTTTTTGACGAATGGAAAACTGCGTTATATGAGTTGAGCTGAGCCTTCTCCTAAAATGTCCTGCTGGTATTATAGCGAGAAAAAATAAATTGATTGGTTATAATCTTGGGCACAGAGCAGGTAAAATGATGCAGAGATTATCAGTTTTTGTCTGGCTATCCCTTTTTGACAACACCCCAGTAGGACAGGATAAAACTTTTGTATTCCCGACAGGGATTCTTGTGAAAAAGAAATAAAATAAAATTGTGGATTTTTATTTATTTTTTTTTTTTAGATTAGTGTGCTGTGTTGGTCCACTGAGACAGAATAGGTGGAGGAAGCTTTTTTTGTTGTTGTTATTTTTCCTAAGCTTTAACACTTACTGGAAATACTGATGTGAATGTGGTAGTTGATGTGCATTAATGCTGTTTTGCAGGGCTGGGTTTCTCTAGTTCTTCACAGTGGGATCTGATGGGCACTGCCATGGTCACACCCGACTATGTGAGGCTGACTCCAGATCTACAGAGCAGGCAGGGAGCCGTGTGGAGTCGAATCGTAAGTCACCTGCAACAATCAGCAGGATCCATTACATTGCATCATTATCTGACAAACCACACCTTATCGTCTGATGTCTTGCGTCATTTTCACACATTCAGAAACTGTTAGAAAGTTCACATTAAAAGGACTACTTATTATTGCTTTGATGTGAAAAGAGATGTTACGAAGGCATTTTATGACCATAATACACGCCATTTTAAATATATTTCAACTTTTTTAAAACATTAGTATATTACTCAGCTGTGTTGTATGCATACTACACAAAGTGTAGCATAAGAGTAACCTGCTTGTCTTCATTTCTGTTGCTTTCTAGCCTCTCCTCTTGAAGGACTGGGAGCTCAAGGTACATTTTAAAATCCATGGCCAGGGAAAGAAAAACTTAAATGGGGATGGACTGGCCATCTGGTTAACCAAAGAACGTATGGTGAATGGTAGGTTAATAATAATACTAATAATAGTAATCTTCTGCCTCAGAGTCAGATGACATCATCTCATCTCATTTGTACATCCTGTACGAACTGACTTGAGATATCAGGTTGTAGTAGCATGTGTAACGTCCCAGCTTTAACTCCTCCTCCTAAAAAACAGGTTTTGTGTTTTCTTCGTCTACGTGTGACAGCAGTAAGAAACAAGGCCCCTTGTCTGTATCTGCAAGATCAGTTGCTGTCTCTAAAGTTTCATTTCACTAGATAATTTTTGCGTATGAGTTGGAGTGGTATTGCCTGCATGGTTCATTGATTTCATTCCTGTCATATGTTTAAGGTCTTATGTTTGTCATTTTAACCCCTGTCCCTGGTAACAATTACAACCCCATGACTGTTTTTGACAAACTCACTAGTCCTGCTGTAATTTATGCCAAGTCCAGTGACACTTTAACACTGAAAAACTGTTGTCTCAGTTATTATACGGAGTTTGATCAGTGAAGTGCACAACGCTGAAACTTGAAAAAAAATAATAATTTAAGGAAAACGTGAATCTTGTTGCACCATCAGCAGTAATGTGGGCATTGTACCGGACCATTGTGGTGCGGAGGGAGCTGAGTCGGAAGTGGAAGTCCATCTATGTACCTATGATCATGAGCTGTGGGTAGTGATGGAAAGAATGAGATCATCTGTACGGGCTGCCGAAATGAGCTTCCTCCGTAGGGTGGCAGGACTCAGCCTTAGAGGGTGAGAAGCTTGGATGACCAGAAGAAGCTCAAAGCCACTGCTCATTCACGTTGAAAGGAGCCAGTTGAGATGGTTTGGACATCTGATTCAGATGCCTTTGGAGGTTTTCTGAGCATGTCTGCCTGGGAGGAGACCATAGGGTAGACTCAGAACCCGCTGGACGGATTATATACAATATCACCTAGCCCAGGAACGCCTCAGGATCCCCCTTGGAGAGCTGGAAAGCGTTGCCTTATCTGCTGCCTACCTGACCCTGGATAAACAGAAGCAAATGGATGGATGGATAAACAAATCCCAATACTTTTTCACAGAGCTTAAACTAACATATTTAAGCAGCTTGCTTTGTCTAAACAGCAGTCCAAAACCCAAAACCTATCCAGTTTACTATGATAGGACTAAAAATAACTTTAACACATTAGTACTGTCTGAATGGGGTTAAAGTTTGTTCCTTGACTGCATGGTTTGTGACAAACACCTGCTTTGCCTCACTGTTTGTTTGCAGGTCCTGTGTTTGGCAACATGAACCAGTTCACTGGACTTGGAATATTTGTGGACACTTACCCTAACGCTGACAAGACCCACGATGTGAGTGCCAGCTGGTAGCTTCTGTTTCAAACGTGTTTTAATGCAGACTGGTGTGTTTAGGTTTATTGAGGTTAATTACCATGTCAAAAGTGAATATTCCCTCCCGAAATAATTTTCTAACACCAGCAGAATTGTTTGTCTGCACTGAAGTGATGGTGTGTGACATATACAGTCGTCCTCAAATGTATTCATACCCTTCCATTAAAGAAAAGGCAAAATTCACAATAGTTACTCAAATAACTAGAAACTGAAAAAAGTAATAAGTAAACATTTGCTGAATTATGATTTACTGCAATAAGACATTGCTTTTGAATTGTGTTGAAAAGAATAAGGGAAAAAACAAACAAACAAAAAAAACTGTTCTGTACAAGTTAGAGCACTTTGCTGATGAGCAGTGGGCCAAAATCAAACTACCTGTCAACAGGTGCAGAAGTCTGATTGAGAGTTACAGAAAACACTTGATTGCAGTGATTGCCTCAAAGGGTTGTTCAACAAAATATTAGTTTACGGGTCCTATCATGTTTGTTTGCTTGTTTTTTGTTTTTTGTTGTTTTTTAATATTTCTGTTGAACCACAATTCAAAAGCAATGCCATGATTTTCATAATTTTTTTTATTTATTATTATTTTTTTCTATTTCAACTTATTTCAGTGACAGCTGTTTTTTTCCTTCATTAATGGGAGGGTATGAATGCATTTGAGGACAACTGTAGCAGGCCAGCCAAAACTGATTCTGTGCCAGACAGCGTAAGGCCAATAGTTTTAAGGAGCCACTTCATTTACATAAATTACATTGCTCTCAAATGTTTGCCGTGTTTCTCTTTCTGCCATCCCTTTGAATGTGCAGAAGACACAAGCTGGAACTCAGGTAGCATGAGAAACCGCTGTTTATTACATGAGACCTGCCGAACATCCCCTCATCATGTTAACATGTTTGTCACATCATCCCATGTCATGTCATTACATGTATCTGTGGTGATTCATCAGTGAAGTCTGACGTCACTGTGGACTAAAATAACAGAGTAACGGTGTGTAATAGCGGCCCAGTGGATAACGGTGCTTTATGTTTGACTCGACTCTCCTACCTTTCTCACAGAGGACTTTTCCTTACATATCAATGATGCTGGGAAATGGGACCCTGTCGTATGACCATGACCGTGATGGACGGCCCACTGAGCTTGGAGGATGCACGGCTTTGGCACGCAATTCAGTTCACGACACTTTTTTCCTTCTCAGATACACCAAAAATAGACTGACGGTACGACACTCCAAGTGATACAGTACACTAAACATGTTATCTTTAAATGCTGTATAGTCTTGTTATAAAATGAGGCTGGATTCAAAATCTAAGACGATGGTATTACATGTAAATTTTTTAATTTTTTTTTTATGTTATAAGGTTTCCTTTGACTGATCCAAAATAAATTCTATGAAATAAAAACCAACAATTAAAGCAGACAACTCCTAACGTTGGTTTGTCCTTCATCAGCGACTCATACTGCCTCTTCCTCTGCCCCTCAGCTCGTGGTTGATGTAGATGGTAAACAGGAATGGAGAGACTGCGCCGACATCACAGGACTGCGGCTACCTACAGGCTACTTCTTAGGTGCCTCCTCCGCCACTGGAGACCTGTCAGGTACAAAATCTCATAAGTATCATTCTTGACCACTGCTCAGTCAAATCAGGGTGAAATTAAATTGAAATGACATCTTTAGGGAAATTAGGTTACAAGTACAACAACCAAAGCAATTACAGCAAACACCAGAGGACGGAGTGGGTTTAGGAGGATTTGTGTAATCATCATTTCATTCTTAAAATGTTAATTACTGACTTGTTCGTCTAGATAACCATGACATCATCTCCATGAAGTTGTACCAGCTGGATGTAGAGAGGACTCCAGAGGAGGAAGAGGAGGAGGAGGTCACTGTCCCCAGAGTTGACAACATGGAACAGTTTCAAGGTAGATGCAGCACGGTCATCTCACTCTGTTGACTCTAAAGTCATCAGCTCTTTTGAATGGTCATGATCATACTAATCCTCATTACTCTAGCAACTTATTATATAGGAGTGTCACATATAATTTCCAACCTTGGGACCATAGATTATAAAAATTGGATGTGGCTTCCAGGTGTGAGAAGTAAAACAAATGCAGAAATGACTTGAACCTGCATTTTTTCTGACAGCCACCAGGAGACATCTCCTCTGGTTGCAAAAAGAAGTTTGACTGTATAGAAGTCTATGAGAAAATAACCCTACTTCTGCCTTTATCTGTTTATCAACCTCAAGTTTCAAGTCTCCTCCAATACAGCATGATGTTCACTTTGTAAATTATGGTCCCATGTTGGTAATAGGTATGTTTTAGGGCGTGGCATCCTTGTGATTGACCATATCAGCATGCCTAATGTGTCGTCAGGTGTCCCAGTCTAATCCGCCCTCACTTGTTATGTCTGGTTTCAAAAAAACAAGAAGGCAACAATCAAATGGCTTCAGTTTATCAGCTTTTTCTTCTTAACTGGTACAGTCAGTCTCTCCCTGCTGGCGCCTGGTGCATGAAAAACACTTCTGTTTGTTTCTGTGTTCCAAAGAAGAAGTGATCTATCGCTGATTATTTAAAAAACAAAAAACTAAATGAGGAGAGAGAGGAGGAGCCTGGTGGAGGAAGGAGAGATTCTGACTCAGACACGTCTGATGATGAAAGTGTGGCTGCAGGTAAGGAGGTACTGATGGAAATTCTGAAGAAGAAAAAAATGCTACATTCATTCTTAATAGTTACTGCAGTACTGGAGCAGCTACATTGAACAAATGATAATTCTAATCATATTTTTGGCTTCCGACAATGACGTGAATATGTTCATCTGTTGTACTGACAATTAAAATATGCTCCTATCATAGAAAACAATGCAGGTGTAAATCTTACATTAGAACCATAAACTATACAGACACATAAGTAGTTTCACATATTATTTTATATAAACAGCTTGTCACTGCAGACACTAAGGATGTATAGTTGGTATTTCTCTAGTAGGCCTATATAATTCCATATCTACGTATTCTGCACATACAATTGTCCTTGTAGTGTAGCTGCTGTGCAACTTGTCCACTCGGACACATCTTGGGCTGCAGTGTAGGAGTCCTCACAGACCCTAACACGTGAGTAGATGGCAGATAAAACTCTACAGTTTTTTTGCAGTGTTAATGTCTTACACTTTGACTATTTATTTTATTTTTTGGCACAACACTGGTTTCAATAACAGCTATGTCTTTTTATTGTTTGAAACCTTGTTTGAGTTGATGTTGACAATTTAATTTCTTTAGAGAATTGTAGAATTTCATATAATGCCAGATTTCAGTTACTGTAACATCCCTAGCAACTGGAGACCTACAGCTGAATCTTGTGCCTGAACACATCCTGTGAAGCCACAGACTTAACAGCAGGGCTGCTGCTGCTCTGCCAACATCCTGCTCATGCTACACCTAGTGAAGTGTGAGCATGTTGTGAGTCAAGACCAAAAAAAACTACAATCTGCCACACATATTTGCAGATCTCAGGCACAGGAGAAGTGCAGCAAAAATCACTTGCAACTAAACCCTTACTTTAAGAGTATTTGCATTTAGTTTTACAGTGCAAATATGTTTGTATGTGCTTTTACACATGCATAGATCTTATTCACACTTATTCAACATTTACAATCCTCAGTACATTTGCAAATCTAAGCACACATTTGCAGATTCATGCACACATTAACAAGCACACACAAATAGTTTTTCAACTTTTCATGCATATTTGCAAGTTCACTCTGTGCAGTAATGCTGTCATGAATTTTTCATTTGGCCTCTTGAACATGTTTTTCTCTGAAACTTTTGGACTAACTATACACTTAAATTTGTATTTTACTCTGTAATGAAACTGGTTTTGTGTTAGTACAAATAAGGATTAAATACCGCCTGCTTAAGGGCACTGTGATGACAGATGTTCGAAAGAGTCTTTTATGTTTTTGTACATTGACGTTATCATTTTTTTAAAAACCTATACTTTAGCACAAGCTCAAGAAAACTTTAAACAACAGTTTCTCAGGCTGATTAGTGTTGGCAGAAACTGAATTTACTGTGTGAAATCCACAAAGAGCTACTTTAACTCAAGATAGACAGTTTATGGTTCTCAACATTAAGACTCGGTGTGCCATTAAATAGTAAATGGTAAATGGTCTGCACTTATATATCGATTTTCTACCTTAGCGGTACTCCAAGCTCTTTACAATGTGTTTCTCATTCACCCATTCACACACACACTCATACACCAAAGGCGACAGAGCTGCCATGCAAGGTGCTTGCCTGCCATTGGGAGCAACTTTGGGTTTGGTGTCTTGCCCAAGGACACTTCGACTGTAGAGGGGCAGGGGATCAAACCACCAACCTTGCAATTCGAGGACAACCACTCTACCACATGAGCCACAGCCGCCTACTTGGCGTAGCATTACCTAATGTTTGTTTAGGCAAGCAACAGAGAAAACTTTTCACAAATTTGGTGTAAAGGAAATCACTCTTAATAAAGTCATTGGACGGAAACTTGAAGTATATGCCTGATTTGAGTCATCTTTTTACTTTGCAGTGAAAGTCGAGGAGGAAGGAATGAGCGGCGTCCAATTCTTCTTCACCTTCCTCTTCTCCATCCTGGGCCTGGGTGTGCTCGGAGTGGTAGGGCTGATGGTTTACGGCCGCTGGAAGGAAAACAAACGCAAGCGCTTCTATTGATCAGAGAGCAGTTGATCCACTTAGGTTTTCAGAATGTGTGTTTCCTAATTGACATACATGACAACAATGCAAAGACTGCCATAGCTTTACTGAACAATACAAGTCAAATGAACTTAACAAACAACAACCTCATGAGCCAAGAAAACATAAACAGCTGAGATGATGAGAAAAGACGAGCCAGCTGTAAAATATTCTTTTTGAAGTGTTCTGGAAGGTAGATGAGATAAAGCTGCTCTTGTGATTTTATTTTTTTTTTTTGTACTAAAATTTGCTCATCTCAATTTAAAGCACAGTGGAACTACGATGTCCCTTCTGCACTGCACTAAGTGAGACACTCTTCCACCAACAGGAAGAGAGACAAATTCCAGAATCGGTAGCAAAATCAGATGCTGTGTGGCGTTTACTGACGACACATTACAGGATTTCTGCAGACCAGATCCAGCTCCAAGTGGATGGGACTGCTGAGGCAGCTCCTGATGGGCGGGCAGGGTTCAAGCGTTCATGTATTGAGACAACAGTAAGAGAAGCTAGCAATGTGATAAAAAAAAAAATGTATGCAAGAAGATGATAATTAAAATGAACTAGTTAGGGGATAGCTAACAGCGACGCCTAATGCTGTAGCCATATCTTCTTCATTCATCTTGTTAGATTCTAATTATGTGGCCTAAACTAATTTTAGGATGTTTACATCAATATTCTCTTCTTGTAAAGCAAAACAAATCTATATTTTTGATGACTTGTCTTGCACTCAGGCTGTTACATATGGGATCACACGTGATTTGGGGTTACTAGCTAACTCACCCATTGTATGCTTACTGTTAGCTAGTAGAGCAGGAGCGTAGTAGTAGGCACGTGTTTGCTTTTCACCTGGTAAACCTGTGAAAATGAAGGATGTGGGTGATCTTTCTAGTTGGTGTCCTAACAGTACAGATGAGTTGATGTGTGGAGGCTACAGCTAATGTTAGTCCACTGCAGCTCCTCTAGTTCCACGTGAGCAGTGATCAAAAAGTTCAGGGACTGTGCCTGTAGAAAGAAAAAAATCATACATTACTTAAAATTTGCTGCCAAAGTAGTCTATTGGTGCAGCGATGAACTCCTCTCAGCGCTTGTAATGCTCCCTCGTGTCGTTATGTCACAATGTCAGGCACAATCTGCAATAAAAGCTGAATCTCTTAAAATGTCAAAATAGCAACCGTTCAATTTGAATTTCATTTTTGGGAAAGAAAGAGAAGTCACAGGAACCCAAATCTAGAAATATGGCGGGTCTTGTGTTGTTGTGGCCAAAAACTATGTATGTAATTACCATGCTATGTCCAGGTAAACAGGATGTTGGATCATCCACGTTTCGTAAAGGTGCACTAACAGTCCCACAACTTTTTGATTACACCTTGTATTTCTCTTCAGCTATTTGTGAAGCCCTGCCCACTTTTTTTTAGCAATCCAGTCTCAGTCCTCTTATTCAGTTTCACTTAGAAGTCCATCAGATAGCTGAACACAAAGATGCTATAGATTACATTTCACCGTAGCTCCAGTGATCTTCTTGGAAAGAACTTTCATTGCGTCTGCCAGCTCATTCCTCTGGGAACTGGCTGTGGTCTGCAGAGAGGAGTGCAGTGTGTCGTTCCCTCTTACCTCCACTTTAATCTAACTTGTAGCTGCTGTGAAGACCAATCAACCTGTGGATTGTTGTAGACTTCTTGCTGCACTGAAAAAAGTCAAACTGTACTGAGCTCCCATGAATCTGAGAGCCTCTTATAAGTCAGGCAAAGCACTTACATCAGCTTTACATATCACGTGAATTTATGTTAGCTGATTGTAAATGTACACAATTGATGAAACATTGAGCTCGATGTTAAACATTCAAATAAAGATTCGAGTTACCAGTGCTGCTTAAAGTGCCTAGCTAGGACCAATAAAGACAAGCTCTTATTTGATGTTCAATCTTTTATTTTCTAGTTGGCATCACAAGTATTTGGCTTCATTAACGTTCTGAAGCTACCAACAGTTCTGATTTATGATAAACCCACATGAAAGTTTATCCAAAAGCATTCAGTCACCATTGTGCACCAGGTATCGTTTTAGAAACAGCTTTTTGTTGTTTCACCAGACCCCCGTCAGTAGAAACATTTTTACATTTCATCAACTAATTCATTTGTGCTTTCGACTTTTGCTCTAGCCCGCACTGTGAACTAAATAGCCATAAACAGGATTATGTAGTGAAATGTGAGTTGGAGTATGTGAATATGAATGTGTACTGTTTAGTTATTTAACCTGTCATAGGACTGACGCCATCATGTAAGTCGGTGCCTTACTGCCGGTGTCCAGCGGATGCAGCCATGTCAAGCTCCATCATAATCTTGCATTTTAGGGACATCTTTACTTCTTTACGAATGCAGCAAAACAATGTTTGCCTGAAGAATGAGAAGGAACACTGCAAACTTCCATGTTTTTTGATAAAGATGTGACAGACTGCTGACTAAAGTCACAAAAAGTGGTAAATGTCAGCCTTATAAATAGACATTTAAAACAACTTTATATAATACAGGTAATGAACAGACTGCTTCGAGAAGCTCCACCTCTGAATCATCCATCAGCCGCATCCACTGGACACGGAGAAGTTATTCATATTAGCCTTTTTCACAGCAGACATTTGTCATCACAGCAACAACAGTGGCTGTCTTCTGTTCAGGCACTCCAGTAGGTCATGACAATTTCAGGACCCTGAAACTGAAGCAGCTACATGGAACTGATTTGTTCACTTAATCATTTACACCTGCGCTTTTCCTAATGTGACGTGGAAAAATGTTGCTAATGGAAATAAAGGCCTGCAGTCAATAAAGAGGAATTCCACGTAAACTGGTGGGTTTCACCTCTGCAAAGGTACATTCATGGATTTAATTGAAAGAAAACATTCTTATGATTCAAAAAGGTTATGCTAATGATTTAACATTGTACTCCTGTATTATAATTGTTAGGTTTTAAATTATGAAAATCAATGAAACAGAATTGAAAATCTTCTCCTTTTAACCTGCTGCCTACACTACCCACAGTGCTAACGTGTCCTCTAGCCTCAGATGAGAACTGGAGTGACCTACAGAGTTCTGGTAAGCTGACTAACTCAACTGCCCCAGATTTCTTTTAAACTTGTACTGATCAAACATAACTGACTCAAGTAACTGATATTTGTCAGGCTGATACTAAAGGCTATGTACAGCTTTGTTTGCATGTTCCCAACACCTGAGAACACACTTTGATGAGTAAAATCAGTGGAGTTTCCCTTTTACCTTGTAACAAGAATAGCAGTAGCTGTAAACTCAGCACCCCAACAGAGTGACCTGTAAGTCCACTTCAGCTGTGTGTGTTGTCGTGCTTGTATGCGAATAGTTATTATTCTTGGTTTAGTTGTATGATTATTATGAATACCTCACCGAAAAGCAAACCAGGTGAGAATAGACAGATGTTTCAAGCTAAAAGTCAGATCACCACTTCTCTGTTTTCTGACTTAAAGGCTTCTCCTGTGTGACATTTTGTATTTTTATTAAAACTTAGACCAGGTTTGTGAAAAAGAAATACTGAGGAAAAGCTTATGTCAAGTTTGATCTGTGTGAAGCATCAAGAGTACACAATAAAACTCTAAGTGTTTAATCATAGTCCCTAATATTAAAACAACACCAGTGTTTTTTTTAATTGTATAATGCAGTTTTTCAAGGCCGTTCCCTAAAAGTTTTACTTTCAGTGAAGTAAAAAAAAAACCTTTGTAACAGTGACATATTTGAAGGTGTCAAAGTTTAGAATAACTCAAACTCCAACACAAAACTTGGAATCTTTACTAAATCTATACAAATGTGTTTTAAAAAAATAAATAAATGAATGAAAAATGCTAGAAATCTGAAAATTGTTCAGGTTTCAAAACTTTTGTGGGAACATTGGACAGAGTTTCATTTGGTTGTTGCATTGTGTATTCTTGAACGCTCCATTGTAGTTCTCCTAGCTTTTAAAGCCATATCAATCAGTAGTTGTCTATAGTTTGAACCTGTTTATGGTTTTGCTTAGAGTTACTTCACCAGCAAAACCTGAGTCCAACATCGTCGTCCTTCTAAAAGTTTTACTGTTCTTCTAATCGTTTATGTAGATTATCTGTAGTCTTTACTGCGTGTCAAGACATTTGTCCTCATCAATAAATTTAACATGAGCCGTCACTGTAGCAATCAGCCCTGTAGGTGATTATGGAATAATAATGTTCAGCCAGTTATGCTAAAAATCCAAACCCTTGTCTGAACAAAGTGTGAGTGAAGAGCAGATGTTGGTTGTTTTTCAATAAAAGTTTCTATGGTGACTTTCCTCATGTGGTCATTTTTTGTTTTATTTTTCTAAATGAGAGTTCCGTTGGAATTACGATTGTGATTATTAACTCACTGAAAAAAGTCTCTGAAAATATTTACTTAGGAGGTCTGTTACTTTAAGATGAAATGACTGAAATGGAAGCAGAAAGAGCACAAACAAGTTCACTGTGACGCTACATTGTCGCATGTATTACTGACAATAATGATATTAGAATAACAACACTAAAAAACAACAAAACACAAAAACAAGTACTCAAAATTAATCCTCAAATGATCAGCAGCTCATGTGTGTTTTGCCAGCTGAAGACTGGACTAGGGTTAGGGCAGATTGATGGAGGGATTACGAAGATGAAGTGAAGATGCACTGTTAATTGATGAATGAAGGCTTACCCATTCTCTTTCTTTTCTTCACAATTTAAACTCTGATTCTGTTCTTATTACTCAGACGTGCCTGCTGTCCAGAAACAGTTCTGTAAACCTGATCATGGTATACTTTCAATCATTTCTTCTTCAGCTTCTATTATTGGCAAATGTCTTGATTTAAGAACAGGGGAATGTTAATATATAACTAAAACAAACAATCCACAGCAGGGAAACGTTCTTTTTAGTGATGACTTGTCCATCTTTTTTTTATTTATTTTTTTGGTATTTGAACCATATAAACAAATGGTTCAGGCTTGTTTGACTGTTCTTCCATGGATCTGTCTATCTCAGGTCAGTTCAGTGCACAGGTGGGCTGGTGCCCTTCTTTTGTGAAAATCTATTTATGCACAAGGTCTGGATTGGTTTTTTACAGGTTTATTCTGAATTGAATAAGACCTCTTGTTCCATCCGTTTCTGTATGTGTGTGTCCTAAAATCTGAGCTGACTGTCAGATTAAGATGTCTGTTCGGGTGCCTGGTTTTCAAAGAGCAAACTATGATGGCGAGTCGATGTTTATCAAGAATTCACTTCCTTCAGAAATAAAGGTGGTTGGATTGGTGTCCTGAGGTCTGTGTTTTGTAATTAGATTAAAAAATCTAAAAAAGTTTATGTGGTCTAGCCAAGATCCTGCTAATGCTTCCTTTCGTCAGTCTTCTTTTGAGCAGGTAAAACACTCAGTGGTGTTTAAATCTGCTGACTGACGGGTCAGTCTGAGACCTTTGACTGATGAGTCTATGTGCAGTGTGTGTGTGCTCACTGCTCTGTGGATGAGCCATAGAGGTCCGGCCAATCAGGTTGGAGAGATAGCTTTCTCCATATTCTATTCAGGCAGAATGCGTGTGTGCTTCTGAATTCATGCTGCTGCAGCATTTGTTCCATCATCATCAGACATACCTGCTCTGCTCTATGTCCCACTGAGGAGCTGGATCTGTGGTAAAGGTTCATTTTGGGCCCATTTGTCCATAAAACTTTGCTCCATAGCCTTTCTGGCTTGTCTTCAGTCCAGTCTTTAGAGTCCTGCTGCGAAAAAGAATGCAACATTATCCTGCTGATCAAATCCTCTACAAACTGGATAATGATGCTTTTACTCTCTAGATTTCACAGCTCTGAGTAATTTCTGTCAAGAGCTGCAGGTGTTTTTCATGTGCATCGTCTATATCTATCTATCTTTTGTCTCATTGTCATGTTCAGATTTCAAATTCAAATTCCGCTCTGCCGTAAACATAACCTGGAGGAAACTGTAAATTCAAATAATTTCCTGGAACTATCCGAAACCTGACCTCTCTTTCTGCAGCTCTTCTCCACTCTGAGCACCAGTGGGTGTGGATGCCCCTCCTCTTTGCTGGTAATCATGTAGCTATAGGGTTGGTAGACAGAGGCCTCAGCTGCCTTTCCTCCTCCCTCTGTATTTTCTCTTTCTCCTCATACCTGTCTGTCATCAGTGAACCCTGGGAATGTTGGGAACAACACCAACGTACTGCTCACGGCATCTGTCACTGGGATACTGCTGGATACAGTGTAGTTAAGGTATGTCTGCGGATATTTAATATTTAATCAGTCATATCATCATTTATTGGGTCTTCCCCTTGAGTACACTGAATTTCTCAGTGATTGTAATTTTTTTTTATATATGATGAAAGCACAAGAAGCAGCATAAAAAACTAAGTAAATTCAGAATAAAAGCAGTGTTTAGCTTTATGTTGTTGTTTTTTTTAAACAGCACCCTCAAACTTCAAATTTTGATATTAAGTGTATCCAGAAAGAGAAACTTTGAAAAGTAGAACACTTGATGTTACCTGAAGAAATGTGTGACTGTGAAAAAGGAAAGCTTTGCTATAAGCTGCTTTCCCAAAGCACATTCTTGGCTATTTAGGCGAAAACTTGTAACAAATGGTTGATCTGGAGATAAGAGCACTTAATAATGATTAACAGCAGGCTGGATACACAGGTGTCTATTGTGGCTCATGGCTCAGTGTTGCCACATCAAACAGTGGTGTCCTGTAAACAAGAGCAGCAGCTTCACTGGTTTTTCCCTCATACGTATTTAAGGACATGTCAAACTGATCTAAAAAAAAAAAAAAAAAAAGTAATAAACATGACTCAAACCTATGAACTCCTGCAGATCTTACAGACGGAGACTATCAGGGAGGATGAATCGCTCCTGTGTGAACTGCCTGAAGTCTCTGGTGGTGGCGCTCCACTTCCTCTGCTGGGTAGGTGCTGAGAGAACCACACAACTGCCAAGCACACTCAAACCACACACAGTTACAACACACACCTGTTACAACCTTTAGATACAGGAGGATAAATAAACCAGGTTTTGAACTGTAGCACCAACACTATGTTGGATAACTCTACCCAGTAGGCATGTGCAGGAAACCACTCAAGGCAGTTCAACCAGTTAGTGTTTTTGCAAATATATTGTTAATCCATACAAAACTTTTCTTATCTGGACTTGCCCACAGGGAGTTTCTGGCATTTTAAATTTTTCTCTGGCATGATTTTTTTTACTGCCTGTGGACCAGTTTTCACCCAATAGTCACCAAATACCCTGGAAACAACAGCTCAGTTTGTTTTTGTCTGTTCAATAGAGTGAAATCAGATTGAGTCCAGATTGAAATGACTGCATTCTTCGCTACCAGAAATAAATGTTGGGGGGCAATGTGTGTTAAACTTGGTATGGATATGGATGTGGTATGGATATCAGATCCTAGCTTAAGTAGAAATACCAATACTATACTCTAAGACTAGTCCATTACAAGTTAAAGTTTGGCATTAAAGTCCTGCTGTGCTATCAGCAAAATGTACTCAAAGTATCAAAGGTAAAAGTACTCATTCTGAAAAATGTAGCTTTTTGCATTATTATCTTGTTTATGCTGATGCATCAATGTGTAAGCAGCATTTTACTGTTGTAGCTGCTGCAGGGAGTGGGAGAGGGTTCTGGTGCCGTCTGAAATAAACTTGGCAACAATGTAAGGTTTAATATGGTCAGAAAGATGAAAAGGCTACACTATTTTGTGTTCATTTTCATGAAATAATGTGTGATTTGACCGTAAAAATGACACTGAGAAGTTCTGAGAGGAATGCTAGTTTTTTTTATATAGTTGCCAATGCAGTTGAAACTGATACAGTTTAAAGGCTTTGTATATAAATATATCCGTGTCCCCCTCCCTTAATGTCTCCTCTCATGGCATCTTCTTGATAATGAGAAGCAGATGGTATTATCTCTCGCTTTGTCCTGAAAGGCTCTCATCAGCTTGGAGTACTTTATATAAAATCGTTTAATTTGTTTATCCAATATATGCTGACCTGACTTGTGAGTAGAAAGATGAGGTGAGACAAGTCCTAAAAGCTGAGCAGCAATCTGAATGATCAGGGTTAAAATTCTAGAGGCCTATTTAACTACCGCTGTTTAACTTTTGACAAATTTCTAAAGCCAGGATTTGGGTGTATTGCATGCAACTAGCTTACCAACCTGTGTGGTGGAAACTTATGTGAATTTGGTATTTGCTGGTATTTGGTATTTGCACTTGATATAATCTTGTTGTACCACAAGGGGGCGATAGTGCACCATTTCTGACAAAGCATTGCATAAGCTTGTTAATGTTTTTTTTGAGTAATGGAGAATAATTACATTCATCTCAGAAATTCAAGTTCAGTACTTGAGTAAATGTACTGTTATTTCCTGAAAATGGGTAGTTGTTTCCCTAATTTGACATGTTAATCACTTTAAATTCCTAAAAACAAACAAACAAACAAAACCTTACATGTCCTCTAGTCAGATTACAGTTTTAAACATGAAAGAAAATAATCCAGACATTTATCTAATCTCAGGTTATTACATCATTATTATTATTGTAATTATTCAGAATAATAACGTGCAGTGTCTCTTGTCCCTGCTGTGTTGGAGCTGTGTGGTGCCTTCGTGGTGGCCTTTGGGGAGTTCCAGATGGTGCACTCCAAGTTCGAGTCTCTCGTCACCACCTTCTGGCCCGTCTACCCGTCCAACACCCTGATCGTCACTGGAACCATCGTCACCTGTGTGTGTTATGTGGGCGTGCTGGGAGGCATGAGGGAGAACCGCTGCATGCTCATCAGTGTGAGTGTGGAGCATGATTTCTCTGATGTTTTCTGAATTATTCCATAAACGTTAGCTTCACTGTTCTTTTTATGAGCTTCCAGTTTAGTTTTACTACACGCAAGTCTGAAATACTAAAGCGTCTCACTGACTGAAATGTTCTCATGTTTGAATTCAACTTGCGCTTGTTGCAGTTTTTTGTCCTGCTGTTCATCCTGATGCTGGTGGAGCTGGCCATGGCCTGTGTGTTCCTGGTTTACAGCAGAGAGGTACCAAAGATTATATGTTTACACCTGCCACAACGCTGTTTATAGGTTCCCATATTAATGAATATATCAGTTTCATGAAAGGAATCATGATCAGAATTTTTCCAAGCTTGTGTATGTTTTGTGTTTGATTCATGTAAACTTCCTTCTTTGTATGAATCTATATAAAACAATGCAGTAAGATAGTGTTTTGTTGTGTTTCTATGGCACCTTTTAAAACAGAAAGTGTTTCAGACTGAAAATGTAAAAACATGGAGACAGAAATAAAATATACGTAAAGACAAAAAAATCTATTTTATTAAAACGGCAGAACAGTTTTTTTAAAAAACAAGGTAAAAGGACAAATCTCAGTGGTGGAGGAGAAACTCGGATCCCAGTACCACAAATAAAAGCTTTGCAACGATTAAAAATGGTAGAAGTGTATTTTACAATAGGAAAAGTATGTAAGTATCATCAGAAAAATGTAAAGTCATGATTACAATTACGTTTTATTCTGGGACAAAATGCTGATTGTTTGATCAGCGCAAAAAGTGAATAATTAAAACATTTAAATGGAAAATTACCACATTTGAGAAATTGGGCCTATGAAATATTTTTTTTTATTTTTACATGAAAAATGATGATCACAGTAGTTGTTGTTTTCTATCAAACGACTGCTTGTTTCAGCTCTGCTTGTATTTACTGTTGGGTCATTTAAACCCACATGGCTTCTCTATATAGAGCCTGATAAGTAGCAACTGAAAATGATATATTAAACTCTAACTTCTGCTGGCAGGGAAAAGTGTTCTCGCCATACTTTCTTCTTGTTAGAAGATGGGCTGCAGCTTTCTGAACAGCCTGCAACTTACAGCAGCTGACACATGATCATAATGTGTTACAACTGTGAAGTCGTATGGTTAGAAAAGCATTGATTCATTTCTCAGCATTTTTGAAAGCTATAATACGCCTGATCTTTGAAATATTTAGCAGCTGATGTATTGCTTTATATTTGGGGATAAAGTCCTAAGAGAGCGCTCTCAGGGCCGATGATAGGAACCTGTTTCCTCTTCTAAATGGAGGTTTTGAGAACCATTGGGACCTTTAAACTGTACAGTTTCCTAAGTTGTGATGGTTCGACAGACAAGAGCAGCTGTTTGTCAGCTTTTAAACAAATCTATCTTATATTGAAGCAATACATTTAAACGGCCAGCAGTGACATATCAATAGAGAATAAAATAGGGCCAAGAACAAATCCATCAGAAGTAGACCGCAGCCTCCTACATAGAATTACCAGCCATCAGAGAAAACTGTCTGACATCTGTTATATAAACCAGCTAAGAGTAGAAACAGATAAAGCAGGTTACTGTTGCTGCCTGTCAGAGAGAATACCATGATCCAATGTGTCAAAGGCCGACATGTGATCCAACAACACTATGATGTGATGCAATCAATTGCTTGAACAGTATTTGATATGGATAAACATGTAATTGGTGCTTGACTTGTGTAAAATGTTCTGCTACAGTTTTTGCTTTACCTTATTTTAGTCTTGGGTTCAGAATGAATGATAAGCAACACTATAACTGTCACACAAACACAGCAGCACTATTGTGATAACTGACATGTGAAAATGCAAAAAAAAAAAAAAAAAGACCTTTATAACACAATGAGTTTGTAAATATGGATGATGACTGAAGTGGCTTTTCATATATAGAAATCATAAATAAGCCATGCGCCTGGAGACATCTTTATCAGATGAAGCTGTTTATTCAGAAATATAAAAGCAACCAACATCTCTGCCTGGTTTGGATGTTTTCAGGATATTTAATGGCCATTGTCATCACAGATCATTCCTATACATGTAGGCCAGTGGGAACGTCCTCCACTTTTTAGGTGGCTCAGTACGCTATTAACGTCTCATTTAATGGAGCTGCCATTTCGTACTTACAAAGAGGAACAAAAATCTTCATTTGGATGCTGGAGGGTTGTTGGTGGGAGTCAGCGAACTTTCACCCAGAAGGCTAGAGCTGAGTCACTACTTGTAACATTACTATAGTTTCATTGATGTCTTGTTTAGACTTTCATTTTGACTTGTTTCACTTGTTTGTCGCTTATTTATTTGCATTATTAGATGATGACTGGTAAAGTTTAGGCGCCAAAACTACTTAGTCAGGTTTACCAAAGACTCATGATTTGGGGTAACATACAGAATGTCGCTCCACTGACCAGATTTCCATTTTGTACATTTCCAGGGTGATGGACTTGAAACTTTACATGCACTTATTTACATGACCACAAGAGGTTGCCAACAATCTCAGTGTAGCTGTCTGTTGATCAGTGATCAAGATGGATGATAGCATGCCACCTGGTCTACGAGAGGATGAAAGACATCCCTACTGCGCCACATGTATGGGAATGATCTATGATTTTAATAGACATTAAATGGACTAACAAAGTCCAAATTGGTTGACATAATGCAACACAAATTTTGATCATTTTCACCTCAAACAGCTTCATCAACATCATTTTCCAGACTTTAATTTTCCAGGTAAACCAGGTCAAACTATGATAAGAATCATGATCTAATGACTACCAGCTTTGCACATACTGCTATCAGCACATTAAACTAAAGGCCCCTGCATTTACCGTCCACTAGGCTGCAGGGTATTTCAGCTGTCTGTATTTCTGTTGTGCAGATTGACACGTACTTTGAGAGAGATCTGATGCGAAGCTTGGAGATCTACAGAAATTCCGGTCCAGAAGGCAATCAGACCATTAAGGATGACTTTGATGCTGTTCAGCACCTGGTAAATGATAAACTACTTGCGCAAACTGCTGAAGGAAACGTTAATAAAGCAATTTATTAACGTTTCCTTCAGCAGCTGTTTTGGGCTTCGCCCTGATTTCCCGTTCCTCTGTTAAATGCTAAATAGCTTCTAATATTCTTACATCACAGAAACATGTTTATTGGCTTAGACTGAAGAAAACTCACAAATGTATAAGTATATATTATTTTAAAATGCGTTAATTAAAGCATAGAACATTCAACACAGTTTCTTTGAAAGACAATAAAGGGTTTCTTGGTAATGACAGAAAATGTTTTTTTGAAGACATTTAATGTGCTAACTATTGTTTCATTCATTACAAAACAGCTTCATGTATAAGCTTTTTAATTTCTTATGTTAACACATTGTTTTGTTTAATAGAAACTTTAGTTTTGGTTAATAAGAACTCTGATTTATATGCCTTCTTTTTGTACAGTTCAGGTGCTGTGGAGTTCATGGCGAATCAGACTGGAGGGGGAATGTTCCAATCTCCTGCTGCATTAAGGACCCCTGTAACACCATCATCCGGCCCAACTGGGAAGAGGTGAGTTATATTATAACTGCATGAATCACTGGTTTTCAAAGAGACTTCATATTAGATTAGATTGGATTAGATTAGATTAGATTAGATTAGATAGAACTTTATTGATCCCTTTGGTAGGGTACCTCAGTGAAATTGTTTTTCTAGTAACAACCCAACACGAACACAACATTAGTAACAATAATAATTAAAGCCGCAAGCGGCGATGGACGGGTCCTCGCCCTACGCTTGTTGGCCTTCGCGCACGTCGGGGTGTTGCGAGCGGAACTCTGAGCCAGCATGTGGAGTTTGGGGCAGATCGGAGCCCGTGCGGCCTAGTTACGAGCCACTTCCTGTTTCGTGGCGAGTCGTGGCGGCGTGCGTGTAGGCCGTGGTGGAAACCCGCTCTGGCTGAGACTTGGAGCACGTGCGTAAAGTTTCAGG